GTTTGTCTTCTTCTGTGTAATTTTATTTATGTTTCATAGGGTAGTTATTTCATGTGTTAGGACCCATAAGTGTGCTTCTGTTTTTCCTTGATAGCCTTTACTATGTAAAGCTGCACTGTTAGATTTTTATTTAACTTGCGTTCATTTTTCTTTTATGATGAGATATATGAATCCTTTCATTTTCTGCAAATGTATATATAGAGACTCTCTCTTCTCCATTTAATGAGTTCCAGCCCTTTGTCAAACATCAATTGTCCATAGTGGACAGATGTACTTTGGGGTTCTAAATTCTGTTGCCTAGGTCCGTGTGTCTGTCATTTTACCAATACCAAGCTGTCTTGACTACCATGCTAGGATTTTGTGAGAATTTTGGCCTCTTTTAATAAGGGACATTGATCTATAATTTTCTGTTTTAGTGGTATAAAGGTTATACATTCTTCATAAAATGAGTTTTTCAAAATTCCACCCTTTCTTTGTTGTGGAGTAGTTTGAGTAGAATCAGTGATAACTCTTCTCTGAGTATTTGGTAGAATTGGCCAGAACTTTGTTGGGAATGTTTAATTACCCATTCAATTTCTTCTTTTTGACAATCTATTCTAATCTATTCTAACCTGGCCTCAGGTTGTGCTACTTTGGGAATAGAGTGTTTTTCTAGAAATGTGTCCACTTCTGGGTCTTAACACTTGTTGGAGCAGAGTTCTTGATAACATTCTGTCAGGAACATTTCCACTTCAGTTGAGTATGTTGTGACATTTCCCATTTCATTTAATATTTGTTATGTGCACATTCTGTGTCTTTTTCCTTTTTTAAACTTGCAAGTGCTTTGCCAATTTTATTAATGCTTTCCAAGACACAAATTCTAGTCTTGGTGATTTTTTTCTTTTAAGTTTATTTGATTCTACTGCAGTTCCTTTATGTTCTCTTTTGCTGTTCATTTTCTAGTTGTGGCTGATGTTGTGTCCAGATGCTGATTTGGGTTATTTCTTATTTATGGATGTGTGTGTTTGTTGCTATAAATTATCGACTGAACACTTATTTTGCTGTGTACCAAGGCTTCATTATGTTGTGCTTTTGTTCTTGTTTGACGCAAGGATAGTTTTCCCCATTTTTTCATTTGTACTACTATCCAGTAGTTTTAACTAGTGTGTTGTTCAGTTTCCATTTATTTGAGTTTTTTCAGTACTCTTCCTGTCGTTGGTTTGTAGTTTTATAACATTCTGATCTAAGAAGATGATTTTCACCATTTTGATGTTTTAAAATTTACATACACTTGCTTTGCAGCCTAACTTTGGTCTATTGTAGACAATGTTCTGTGTGCACAAGGAAGGAATGCATAATGTACTCTTGTCAGAGGGCTGTTCCTTGAGGTCCAGGTGGCTGATTTTTGTCATGGGTTGAGTTATTTCACCTGATAAAATATGTGATAACTTAGCTGGACCATGTTGAGCAGTTATTTATGATCCCCATGAAGTAAGCTGATAAGAAAAGCCAAAAGAGGGGATACCGAAGCAAGCAAAACCCACTGCTATCTAGTTAATTCCAACTCCTAGTGACCCCACAGGGTTTCCAAGACTATAGATCTTGACAGGTACATACAGCCTCGTCTTTCTCCCTAGAGCAGCTCATGGGTTTGAACTATCAACTTTACAGACAGTCATCCAATGTCTAACACACAGTGCCACTGTGGCCTCTATGATGGAATACAATACCACTAATCCCATCATAGTTGTAATGAAATGTAAGGGCAGTTTCCCTGGGGTGTGTCCCACAAAACCTACTACCTTAGTAGGGATAAAAGGAGAGAGAATTGAACAGAAATCAGATGCACCTGCTACCACCACCAAGAAAAATGAAACAGAATTGGAGTGCATCCTTTGGACTGGGGGTCCTTGCATTGAGAAACTTTAGACCCAGGGGAAGATGGCTACCAACACTCATGGAAATCTGAAAGAAAAAAAATAGTGGTCTTAAAGATGCTGAAAGACGACAAGAACCTTTCTCCAGAACCAACAGAGGAAGAAAGCCTTCCCCTAGAGACAGTATTCTAAATTTGGACTTCTAACCTTCTTTTCTATGAGAGAATAAATTTCTGTTTGCTAAAGTCATCCCCTTGTGGTATTTTTGTCATAGCAGCACTAGATAAATAAGACAATTGTGTTGTTTAGATCTCCTGTACCTTTTCTGAGTTTCTAGTTCTGTCCTTCATCAAAAGTGGTGTGCTAACTAACGTACTATTTTGTGGAGTTGTCTATTTCTCTTTTCAATTCTGTTGCTTGATTTATGTAACTGGGGGCTTTTTATTGAGTGAATAGAAATGTATTATGGCACTATCTGCTTGTTGTATTGACCCTGTAATTATTATATAATGTCATCCTTGTGTCTTTTGCTGGTTTTGCCATACCAGAAATTGAAATTGTCACTGCTGTTCTTTTTGTTTCAATTTGCTTGAAATATGTGTCCATCCTTTGGTTTTAACTTATTTTTGTCTTAGTGTCTAAGGTGTGTCTCTTGTAGATAGTATATTGATGGGTCACATTTTCTTATCCATTCTGCTATTCTGTCTCTTGACTTGTACATCTAATGTATTCACATTCAATGTAATTATTGAGAAATTTGATTTTACTGGCATCATTTTGCTTTTTTCGTTGGTGTTGTCTATGTTTTTATAATTCTTATGATTTCATTGTTCAATATAGTATTGTGTGCTGAGTTAAATTTCATTGCTGTTGTTTTAGCTTTTCTTGAATCGTTATGATTTTTTTGTATTGTTGAGAAAGTTTACCAATTTTCTTTGAGGTTACCCCATAATTTATTATTATTATCTTTCTATTTAATACAGCACATTCTGTATTGTTATTGTCTGGATATCCTCTTTATTTGAACCAGCTGCTGGCTGGGTGGAAGCAAGGGATGCAGCACCTCTGGTCAGCAGAAAATTGTGCAGAGTAGGTGTAGAGATCCTACCTGTCTGGTCACTGATCCTTTATGTGGTTGCCAGTACAGTGGAGTCACTTACCTGGTTCTTGCCTAAGTCAGAATGATCCTTGCAATAATTCAAAATGGCTACACTGTGCCTGGCTTATTATCGCAGCATTACTCTATATGTCTCCTTGCTCACAATTTTTGTACATTCTCTTCCTCAAATCGGTTTTCGATCTATTGATGTATATATACTCTCTTTTAAAGTTCTGAGTTCCAGAATTGTCACCCCTACATGCTTCAGTTGATTTCTTCAGTCGTTGTTGTAAAGGATCTTCATAGTGTATGTGCTTAACTTAGCCACTTAGTCTACCATCTTAGCCACATCCTTCTAGTGAATTGAAAGTTCTCAGTTCTTTTGTTTCAACGAATGAAGGATTCTTTTCTACTGTCCCCTGGCTTTTACTGTTGTTGTTGAGAAATCACCTCCCTGAATATGTATATATGTGTATAAATGTGTGTGTGTGTGTGTGTATGTAAGTTGCTTATAGGTTAATTGTTTTTGCTGGTTGCTTTGCTTTTGCTTTTTTTATTCACTATCAGTCTAAATTTATTTTATTTCCTGGGGCTTTCCAAGGTCTTAAATCTTGTCTTGCATAAGTTATTTTAGTCAATATTACTTCAAATATTGTTTCTGCACCATTTCTTTTCTTTTTACTTTCTGGGACTCACATTGAATCTTAAATATTCTCAGTGTGCTGTTTATGATATGCACATATGAATATGTTGTTGTTAGTTACCATCAACTAGGCTCCAACTCATACTAACCCTACGTAAAAACAAAAAAACAGTTCCCAATGCCGTGCCATTCTCAGAACTGTTGTTTAAGCTCATTGTTGCAGCCATTGTCCTCCTACCACATACAAATATAAGCATGTTTATATTCTACATCTGCCTCTTTCTGAATTGTTGCTTTTAACCTGTTTCACTTCTCTGAATGTTATTTCTGCTACATTGAACCTCTTTTAAGGATCCATATACATCGAGTTTCTACTTTAGTTATTGTGTTTATTAGGTTCTGTGATTCTAGGGTTTTTGCTCAAATCTGCAATATTACTTTTTATTCTGTCCACTTCCTAATTGAAAATATCACTGTATTCTTGTTTTAACTCATATTATTCTGTCACCAAGAACCCGAATGGTGCAGTGGGTAAGTGCTTGACTGCTATGCGAAAGGTCAGCAGCCATTCCATGAGAAAAGGCATGGCAGTGGGTTTCTGGAATGATTTGGGTCTTGGAAACCCTATGGGGTGATTTTACTATGACCTGCCGAGTAGCTATGAGTCAAAATCAACTCGATGTAGCATCACATCATGTCCTTTGCCTGTCTATTGTGCAGTTGGACATTTTTAATGAGATTTATTTAAAATGTTTCTGAAAATCATTTGACTCACTGTCTTCGAGTCAATGCTGACTCATAGCAATTACCCATTGGGTTTCTGAGACTGTAACTCTTTATGGGAGTAGAATGCCTTGTCTTTTTCTCTCTGAGCAGCTGGTGGTTTCAAATTGCCAACCATGCAGCCCAACTCATAACCACTATGCTACCCATGCTTCTTGGGAATCATTTAAAGAACAAATAATTTTATTTTTCACTTGAAATACTATTCATGTGCTTCCACTGGGTGCTTGTGGACACATTTTTCTTTAAAAAAATCATTTTAGTGGGGTCTAGTACAAATTTTATCACAATTCATACATCATCCATTGTGTCAAGCACATTTGTACATTTGATGCCATCATCATTTTCAAAACATTTATTTCTACTTCAGACCTTGGTATCAGCTCCTCATTTTTTCCTCTCCCTCTGCCACCTCCCTCCATCATGAATCCTTGAGAATTTATAAATTAGTATTATATTTTTCATGTCTTAAACTGACCAATGTTTCCCTTCGTGGATACATTCTAACCTGAGTTATTTTAATGAAATTTTAGGCCTTGAGATATTCTGGGTCTACTTAAGGATGGATAATTTCAAAGCTGGATCAAAAGCATTAAAGTTCACCTCTTTCTCAACCTAGGTGTGAATGATTCTCCATGGGAAGGGAAGGTTCTGGATTCCAGCTGTGGTTCCCTAGCCTCCCGTGACAACTCAGCCTCTCATCCCTTCTGGAACAGTGGGTGTATCCTGAACTCTAAACTCACCTCTTTGATCTATTTCTTCTATCAAATATTTACCAGGTAATTTTTACTACCTAGTAAACTACTTGTGGTATTAAAGACTTTGCTATACAAGTTCATCTACCTATAATAGGTATCTTTCCTGGGGAAGGCTGGTTTCAATTTCTAAGACTGATATTGAAATCCACTCTCAACCTTTAGTGTCACTGAGGAAGAAGGGAAGCACAAAGTTAGAATGAACACACAGAGGATGATGTACAGTAGCAATCCAACAGAGACATACTGAGGCCAAAATACAAGGAAGAGTGAATGGGGATTGTTTTTATGGAAGAATTAACTGAAGACGTAAAGTACTAAATTCATGAAGGAAATGTTAATCATCCACTGGTGTGGATATAAGGAAATATCGTTCAAAGTGTCAGAAATGTTAGGAAATGGGAAATCTGAATGATTTATGAAATTGGGACATGCAAAATGTCATTTTATATAGACTCCAAATATGACCACAAGGAATTAGAGGGGAATCGTACTGAAAACATAAAATACAGGAATGTATTGGGATCTACACATACAGATTTGAATGAGATCACTATACAGAAATTTGAATGCATAATAAAAATATATTACTCAGTGATAGGTGACAAAAGAACTGACATAATGCAGGTTAGAAATATATTTAAAAGGGTTGAGAATAATAAAGGAAGGTGAGGGTACTTGCCATATAGGGTCCTTATGAGTTGGAATCAACTTGATGGCCGCTGGTTTGGTGTTTGGGAGGATTTAAGCAAATATGAAATGAAGCACAAAGCATCTAAAGGAGATATATGAATGGAGATAAAAATGTCCTGAGATTGGTTGTGGTGATGATTGCACAGATCTTCTTAATATGATTGAATGGTTAAACTGTGTATCAGAGGTATAGGACAATAAAACTATTTCAAAACATGTGAGGGTGGTCGGAGGAGGGAAGATGGCCGATTGTTAGGTAGCTCACGTCCAGATCTCCAAGGAGATCGGTGAGTGGGGAGAGTTGGGGGCGGAGTAGGGGTACCAAATTTGTCTGTTTGATTCCCAAGACCACTCAGAGCATCTTTTGGACTCAGAGGTGTACTCCCACCCATAGCCAGGGCTCCATGCAGACACCTGGAGTTTCAGGTGTGGCACTTGCGCACCTGCTCTGCCGGACCATGCCACAAGGCAGCTAGGTGCATGGCGGAAGCTGAGCCCGCCCACCTTGGCGCTCAGCACAACCGCCAGTCAGGAACCCCCACCCCACTGCAGGTAACCGGGGCCCATGTGTGTGCTCCAACAGGCAAGCTTCCCCACCCCCTGAAGATTCAGGCCCCCCACCTGGGCACCCCTCGCGGTCCAACAGGCCAGATACACCCCCTCTCTCCCCGGAGGCGTGCACCCGGCGCCACAGCCAGGCGGAAGTTAGAGTCTGAGGACCTGCCTCTCGGCTCCATGTAAACCGCCAATCAGGCCTTCCCACACTCTCAGAGATCGCAGCCCAGAGGAGCGTGCCGCATCACTACACTCCTTGCAGATCCGCCAGCCAGTCCCTCACTGGGCCTCCCTGCAGACCCACTCCCCCATACACGCGCACACTTGTGCGCGGGGACACACACACACACACACACACACACACAGTGATCCGCATCCTGCCACAACGATGCTGGCACAACTTTCTTCAGCTGTGGCATAGAAACCTGAGTTTTGGGGGCTTTATCACTGCCTTTTCCCTTCTCCCTGCTCACTCTGTGCCACCCTTTGGGCTTCAAGAGGTGCATTTGCACACCAGTCGGGGGCCCCCCTCCCATCTGCCTACCTGAGGGAAGTTCCCCCAGCCAGAAACAGATCACCCAATCTTCAACCCATCCCCTAAATACATTCCCCTGCACTGGGGCCAATACTTTCTATCAGACCACAGCTTGCACAACTACAACCTCCCAAAGAGAGCTCAGGGTTCTGAGACACAGGGAAAAATGGCACCAAGTGCCCACAAATTGAACAGGAAACAGCAAGGTGCTTCCACAACTTCAACAAGAAAAGAGAAACAAAATCCAATGCCAGAGGACCACCTGGACCTAACAGCTGTCATAGAAAGGGCAGAGGTTGACCTCCCACAGAAAGAAATCTTCAGAATGCTGCTTGGAGCTATACAGGACATGAGGGAAGCATTACAGAAAAAGGATGACATGATAGAGGAATTAAAGGCTATGCACCAAACGGAAATAAAATACAGGAATTAAAGGGCGAGATAACAAAACTAACAGCAAACTCACGGACTTCGCTCAGAGAATGAAGGAGGCTGATATCCGCACCAGTGACCTAGAGGATTCACAAGCAGAAATTAATAATCGTGAGAAAAAAGTCTAACAAGTCCATCAGAGAAGCTGAAGAAAACCTCAGATCTATGCCTGACACTATGAGAAGGAACAACCTTAGAATTATTGGTGTGGAGGAAGAATCCACATCAAGGAAACCAACATCCAAAATAGTTATGGAATGCTTGGAAGAAAACTTTCCTAACTTAATGAACGAAAATGAGGGAACTATTCAGGAGTCTGAAAGAACGCCAGCTAGACTGAATCCCCAAAGAAGCCACCAAGACATACAGTTGTTAAACTATCCAGCTATGAGGTAAAGGAGAGGATTATGAGAGCAGTCAGAGAAAAACAGACAACCACATATAAAGGCAAACAGATCAGAATATGCACAGACCTGTCAGCAGACACTATGAAGAACAGGAGACAGTGGAGCAGCGTGTTCCGAAAATTGCAGGAAATTAACACAAACTCAAGAATACTGTATCCCCCAAGAATATCGATCAAAATAGATGGACAAGTGAGAGTCTTCCCGGACAAGGAAAGCCTCAAAGAATATACTAAAAGGAACCCAGCACTACAAAAGATCCTCGCTGACCCAGTAGGGGCAGAAGAACAACACTCACCAAGCACATACAAGAGACCACCACACAGAAAAACTCCACCCAGAGACCGTCAAAGGGAAAACAGCCCCCAAGATAAAACTGGCACAACGATGGAAAGAAGGCAAGAATGAACCGCAAACGCACATATACACAATCCATGGTAAAGAAATGGAGGTAGGAAAATACCCAACACAAGAGAGATAAAAATGACTTCACAGGGTCCACAGATAGATGTAATAACCCTGAATATTAATGGTTTGAAATCCGGCCTTAAGAGACAAAAGCTAATAGACTGGCTTGGAAAAAACAAACCCTCGATCTGCTGCCTACAGGAAACACACCTCAACATTACAGATAAAAACAGGCTGAGAATCAAAGGATGGAGACATTATCAGTCAAGCTCTAATTCAAAAAAGGAGGGGTTGCAATCCTAATCTCAGATAAAATTGACCTCCAAGTGCAAATCATAAAAAGAGATAAGGATGGGCACTATATAATCCTCAAGGGAACATTACAGAAAGAACCAATAAGCATTCTAAACATTTACTCGCCAAATAAGCATCCAGCAGAATATGTCAAGCAAACACTTCAAGGATAAAAAAAGAAATCACAGCCTCAACAATTATAGTAGGTGATTTCAATACACCACTCTCTGAGAAAGACAGAACACTTGGAAAGAAACTCAACAAGGAGACTAGAGATCTAAACATTACAATTAGACAATGTGACCTGATAGACATCTACAGAGCTCTCCACTCAAACAAATAGGAATTCACATTTTATTCTGCTCGCATGGCACATTTTCTAAAATAGACCACATGCTAGGACATAAGTTAAATCTACATAAATTCAAGCACATTGATATCATACAGACCTGTCTCTCTGACCACTGTGCCATAAGATTGTAAATAAACCAAAGGAAGATAAAGAAAGTAATGGCAAGCCATTGGAGAATGAATAACTCTCCATTGCAAAAGGAGAGTGTTCTGACCCAGATCAGAGATGAGATTAGGAAAGTTCTAGAAACCAACGAGAATGAAAACACAACATACCAGAACTTATGGGACACAGCAAATGCAGTCATCAGAGGTAGTCTCATAGCATTACATGCACACATAAAGAAGGAGAGGCATATGATTGATACACTGACACAAAATTTACAGCAACTAGAGCAGAGTCAGCAAGAAAATCTAACTAATAGAAAAATAAAAGAAATAATAAGAGTTAGGTCTGAGATTCAGGAGAGAGAAAATAAGAAAACTATGGAAAAAATCAATGCTGCTAAAAGTTGGTTCTTTGAACAGATAAATCGAATCAACAGACCTCTCATGAACTTGACCAAAGAAAGGAAGGAACGCGTTTCAATAGCAAGGATGAGTGATGGAAGAGGGACTATTACAACGGACCATAGTGAAATCAAAAGGGTAATTACATAGTACTATGAAGGACTGTACTCCAATGAATTCAAAAACTTGGAAGACATGGATGAATTCTTGGAAAAACAATTCCTTCCCAGATTATCCCCAATAGCCATCAAAGACCTCAACAGACACATATCAGTACAAGAAATAGACAAGGCGATAAGAGAATTAAAAACCAAGAAGGCCCCAGGACCTGATGGTTTCACAGGTGAATTTTATTAAGCATTCAGGGAAGAACTGACACCAATCCTACACAAACTCTTCCAGAACATAAAAAAAGATGACAAACTCCCAAATTCCTTCTATGAAGCTAGTATAACTCTGATACCTAAACCGGGCAAGGATCCCACAAGAATTGAGAACTACAGACCAATCTCCCTAATGAATATCGATGCAAAAATCCTTAACAAAATACTAGCCAAGAGAATACAAAAATATATAAAAATTCACCATGACCAAGTGGGATTCATACCAGGGATGCAGGGATGGTTCAACATACGAAAGACCATAAGTATTATACGTCTCATTGAAACGAAGAAATATAAGAACCATATGATAATATCAATAGATGCAGAAAAAGCATTCGACAACATCCAACACCAATTCATGTTTAAGACTCTCAAGAAGATAGGAATGGAAGGAACATTTCTCAATACACTACAAGCTATATATGAAAAACCAACAGCCAATGTGGTAGTCAACAGAGA